GATAATTAAGACACGGACGATTTTCTTCAACTATATCTTTGAACGCACGAAATGCGTTCATCACTTATTCTAAAAAATGTACAATCCCGATTAAATTAAAGAGAGATATTTTCTCATAGACCATACATGTTAAAATCAGAATGTGATGACAAATTTCTGAGAAGTAATTTAATCGTGCAAAAAAAAACCCGTATGCATTCCCTTCACGGTAGTTAAAATTAAATAAAAATCGACGAGGCACACAAAAGCCAACGAGACTGCGCCGCTTTCGACATCCCGCGAATTTATAACGCTAGCGCGAAAATTTACAGGCACACGACTATTCCAGCAGGCTGCATATTTTTTTCACCCAATCTGGCCATTGTCCGCGCGCGATAACACCGAGAACATATCGACGCATCGATCTTTCATTCATCCGTTTATTACGCGATAAAAGCATGGAACGTACAATATGCATGAAGAAAGGTTTCTGGTTTCTACTCTGTTTTCTGACATTTCTATGCTATTTTATATACATGCAGATTAATTTTATCGAATACTATTGCTAATTATTAGTGTTTGTTAACTGTAGCCATCACATTATTAACGATTACATTTCTGGTACAATGTTACTTTCAACATTTCCGTTACTTTAGCTTTTTATCCTCTGTAAGTCGGGTGGTAAGCGGACATCCCATTCATAGGGGCAACTTTAGGAAACTCGTTACTTTGTGTCAGCTTATCCGATTTCTACGCTCTGGATCATAAAGGCTCTTAACGTTATGGGGTCGTACTATTGTTGTCGTTCGCGTATGCCATTCGGCGATGTAACCCACCGCGACGCCACCGGGCATTTTTCGTTAATGGCGTTAAAGGCTCGCTTTATCATTCCCAACGTTTCCCATTCTAATTCCGGAGCGTACCGAGTCGTTATTAGACGGAAGAGATAAAGATAATTCGGCCAGTTGCGCGATGGCCAGAATGGAGGACTCCCGGCAAACAATAGCGTCTTTTATGATCCATCTACACGATCGGAATCTTCGTAGAATGCCTTGAACTTTTCCAGCATTGTCTGATTCTGCACTTTCCCCTAATTTATGATTGTCGAGTATTAAAATAATGCAAATTTTGAAAATAGAATTATTCTCAATCATTTAACCATTTAAAAATAAAAAAAATGTACTATTGCAAAACATTTGATTGTGATTGACATAACATTTTTGCTCATCATAAATTAATGGAATAATTATGTGCCATGGACAGTGATTTCTTAATACATTATGTGTTATTGATTTACGGATTTATAAATCTAATAAATTGCTCGTTTTTAAATATAATTATCATCAAATATATAAGAAGTAATTGTAAAGCAACAATTTGTTTCGCAAATTTAATGTAATGTAGTAGATTAACTAAATTAACAAAGATAATGATACTTGCTTTAATCCATCTATGCTTTATAGCACTTACTAAAAAGACTTTCTAACGCTCTGAAGTTCTAAATTGCTCCGTCTATATAAGCTCATACTGCGTAATTACATGGATATCAAAGTGCTCCTGAAAGTACTGCTAATAACTACCTACAGTCAAACAAGACTAATTGACTTTGTGGGAGTTTATTCTCGTCAAAGAGTTTGACGAATTCGTTAAATTAATGTTAAAATTCACGAAAAACAAATACGATATGGAAATATGTAGCATCAAGTATTATAGTAAAAAAAGATGACAATGTTTCTAATTAATGTCAGATTCTTAAAAGTAACGATATTTTCAGTAATATTTTCATTTAATTTTTGCGACTTGCCTTTCTTTTTCTCATCTCTCAGTTCATTCCAGATAATTGTTATAAGTATATAAATATTATTCAATATATTATAAAAAATAATTTTTATATTTTTTTAGCTGCAAATACGTAATATACATATTATTCAATACGTATTATTCAATACGTTATAAAAAATAATGTTTTTTTAGCTGTAAATACATAATTTACTACGTATTTACTAAAGATATTTACTATTAGCGATGTTTGCAATCAAGAGTTTCGAAAAGAATTAATATTTCACCAGAAAATGCGAAACTAATCATTCTTACATCACTATACAGTTACAAAATTTCATACATGTTTTCTGCTTCTCTATCATACATGAATCTGATATCGAAGTAAGAGAGACATTTGTATTCATGACCAAACAAGTCGCTAGTACTCCTTTCCTGCCATCAGCAATATTTACCGCCGGTAAACATGACAGAAATCTTTCATTGAATTCCTTGCTTCACTCGGCGCGCGTTTCATTCTTCTTTTCATCTCTCTCTCTCTCTCTCTCTCTCTCTCTCTCTCTCTCTCTCTCTCTCTCTCTCTCGTCATTCTTCTCTCGACGCTCTTCTCGCTCTTATTTTCATCTACCGTCACGCGACAATCTCGTTCGTGTCTATACCTGCAAGGATAAAAGAATCCCTCGCGACTGACGCGACCTTTGCGACATGGGAGACCCTCGTGCAACCGCGGGAGAAAAGCGCTTTGAGCGGCGATGAATCGTCGACGACGAAAATTCGCTGCATGGGTTACAAAAGGGAAAATTGCAATCACATGAGAACAAAGTGCTAGCGGCTTGAAATACTCCAACAATAGCACGCTCTATATCTACTATTAGATTAAATAATTAATTGAGTGAAAGTTTAAGTGACTGAGAAAGAAAGAGAGAGGGAGAATTTTATTTCAAATCTGGCTTGAATATTTTCCTCATTCTTATTAATGTGCAGAAATTTATATCTAATTTAAAGAGTACTCTGATTTTTTTTTACTTTAGCATAATATCTAAATGGACTGCATAATTTTCTACATTCATATACGACAGTAAAATATCGATCAAATACCGCTCAAGTTGTTCGCAAATATACTGAAAATTACACGGACCTCCATATGACTTGGACGACGGATTTATACCTCGTTCTACGATATGCACGTATATGTATGTGTATATCGAACCACTTTACCACTACCACCGAATCTAATTGGTATACACATTAATACAGGTACATTAACAGAGGCTGCGATTAATTACCCGTCCGTGACGCGCAATGCAGTCCAAAGTATTCCCTGTACGCTAATAAATTGAGTTCACGCGCGATAGCGCGAGCGACGCACAATTAAATATAGCGAGCAAAAATAAAGCAATATTACTTTTTCAAATGTGTCAAACGTAATTCGCACGTTTCTTTTTCTCCGGAAATTTTTTCGCACCACATGACACGATCCAGTTACCTTAACTAAATCCGAAATTAGTTGGCAGTTTCGTATTAATCGTGTTGTGCCGCGCGCGCTCGCCTGACCGCTGACGTGCTTGCTCTTCCATCACGTCGAACACATCGCACCAAAATGGTATATTGCTGTGTCGCGGATGTAATCACAGTACGTGGACATGTAAATCCAAAACGATTCACTGTACCCGTAGCAAGATGCGCACAATAAAGAAATCTGCGCGCCACCATTTTTGCGAATTAGCGATTTTGCAATCGTATACGCCGCCTCCAAACTTCTCGAACATGTCTATCGCCTTTAATATTGTAATCGAATATCTCGGATGATTTCCGTTCATGGCTTGTTTCAAAGAAATATGCCATGTCGGACTGGGATGTTTAATGGTGCGATTAATATGTACTTCACAATGAAGCAGTGGATAATAATTTTCAACGTGTGAATAGCAGAAACCCGCCTTAATCAATTCTCCGATATAATCTAACAATAAGTAGTGCATTTTTATTTTTCTCGTTTCTAAAGATTGTAATTTGTAATTGTAAATTGCTACTACGAACCGCTACGCGTATCTTTTTGCTTTAAAGCAAATTATAAAAATGTATAAAAATTTTAATATAAAAAAAATTTTACAGCATGTATGCTTTAAAAAGATTTTCATGATAAAGTTATATGATATATTAACAACAAAAATCATATTCCGAATATGTTTGAAGATTCAGCCAATTTTAACAAATATTAAAAAATTATTCTATATTTTTCAATTACTATCTAATAAAACAGAGTTAATAGCTGGTAAACCAGAACTAATCAACCTAATTAATAACATAATATAATCAGTATATATTATAGCATAATCTAGAATTCTAGAATTAGTACCTTGTTGTATTAGATATAGTAGTATTATGTGCTAAAGTGGATTTAATTATCATGCAGCTGATAATAATACATATGCAAGTTATTATTTATTTTGAAATTATTATCATCTCTATAAACATTAATTACACGTAATATATGTATAATATATCCGACATATGGAACGTTTAATATAAATAACTAATACTACAGAAATGCAGTAAAAGATATATAATCTCTTCTTCAAAAATTTTATTCTTTCTTGAAATATTCCGCAACTTCAAAATAAACGATCCCTACGAACGGTGACGAGCAAATTAAATTTTGTTGTATTAAAATATCAATTTAGAATTTGTCAATAAAATCATAGATAAAAGTAATAATTTTCGATCACTATTATTGTTATTATTATTATGCTAAAAATTTTAAATAACACGTTTAAACTGTTTAATTTTAGTGTTAGATATTATAATAGAGAAGCATAGTTACATATGCTTATTATATATAATTCCATAATCACGAGAGATACCGCGTAAGCGGTCGAAAAAGGAAAAGTTCACGAGAGGTTTAATATGTTAGAATCTCATGAGAAAAAAAGAAAGCGAGAACCACCGGATAAGGTGGACCACTTGGTAGCGCTGTTACTTTTAATTAGAGCAGCCAGCCGCTCTATTTCGGAACGATTAGCAAAGCGGAGTCAGAGACTTAGCAGCAATTTTTACTCATTACGGCTTTCAGAAAGATCCCTGGGGTGATGTAGCGTGAAAAGATGAAAATCCCTCTCGGGACCAGACGTTGTCTGACATAGAAACGACTTTTCGTTACCGTTCTTTGAATCGTTTCCTCTTAAAATAATTAGTTATTACGCAGCTGATAAAATAATAAAGAAAAATTTGAAAATAACACTCACCTTTCGGCTGTTCCCATCCTTGGGGTTTAAGTCCGAGGCTACTGTCCCGAAAATGGTTGGCTGAAAAAGAGATTCGTAGTATTCATTAGTCATCTTAATATTTTAACTTTGTAATAAAATATTTAAAAAATATAAAAACAATATAGATGTTTATAATAATTAGAGTATTCATGTGGTCACTGATGATATTGTATTTTAGAAAGTAAAGAATTAATGTCAGAAAAAGAACAATTGTTATATAGATATATTCACAATAATTGTATAAAGTAATAATATATATGGCAAAAAAGCTCATGTTTAACAAATATACGTCCATCACAAAGTCGAACTAACTATAGTCCTAATCACATTTTAACTGACAATATAATTAATATTAAATTATAAAAAATGGTTGACCTAGACTAAGTTGTTTGTGACAATTTATTCGTAGTACTTCTGTTTTTGATAATTACAAACAACATCTAAATAATGTCAGTTTCGTGCAAATTTTTATTCCTAGAATTCGCGCGCGCATTACAAACGCCAGTCGATAATTAATGCGATAGTCAATCAATCACGTTATGCAGCTATTGCAAATTTATCTTTCATCGCTCGCACAACTTTTTTTAGGGATTATAAATTCATAATTTTCGCTTTATTCAATTTTTTATATATAATCGTAATAAATTGCAAGCATCTTGTAATTAGTTGGATAAACATAGCTAACAAATAACTGTCCGAAATTGTCGGTGAACATTGCATTTCACACGAAATTGTCAGGATCTGATGCTGTCATATAAAACTGCAAAATATCGCCGTAAAATCACGATACTCGTAAATTCAGGGATAATGTCTCATTCAACAGTGTAGACTAGCCATTATTTACCCTGATGCATGATATATTGTAGCATCTAAGCAGAATAAATAAGATAACGCAATACGATATACATATAATTTAAATTCAATAAATACTTTTACAATGTGAACAACTGAACAAAACAGTATACATAGTATTCTCTAAAATAATCTCTTAACATCTGTGCGCATAAATGATATTTTAGGAAATGTCGAAGAGTTTTTTATGATAGCAAACTATATATTAATAATTTAATTTCTTACTTTTCAAAAAAGTACCCAGGGAATAGTTATTTTTTAATATTTAATAGTATATAGCAACAACAATATTATGATTTTGTAATATATTGAAACAATCATGACAACATTAATTTCCTGAAAATTATATCACACATGTCACGATTATTTGGTCGCTCGCGGTCGAATCATCTCGCAACGTTAATTTTGGTAAATTATTACATCCGATCCCATTAGACAATTTACGCATTTAACGCGCCACATATTTTACACGATTATCGTTCACAAATTTTACGTCAAACTGTATTGGCAACAAACCGTTGACTGTTACTCGATCCACTCGCTTAATTTCAGATCAGCCAAGCCACAGTCAATATTTTATGAGGCTTAATGAAAACTGTCAACGTGACGACAGCTTTGATAAATAAAGCCAGTTTTTACACCCAGCCGGCGATACGGGTGGCCGTTCTCCTCGAGTTTTAATGCATCGTCCGCGTTGCAACGAAATTAAATCGCTCATACGAAGTGACGCTCTAAGTTTCTTCATGTATGTGTAAACTCATGTGTACCCATATATTTATGGATTATATAATAATAAAAGAAGAGAATATTGTGTACTATCTCTATTACTCTATTATCACTTTATGTTGATTTGTGTCCGTAATATTAAATAAAGTTCTTTATTACTAGACAATGATAATTGTTCATGCACTCGTTTTATGGATTCAATTCCGTTAATATATATATCACCTATATAGCGACAAAATATAATTGCTATTTAAAATGGTACCATAAGTAAGCGAATTACATATACATGGAACTAACACACAAGTACGGATTTATATTATCATGACAGTCATTTGTCTTCTCCTACTTATCGCGACTGTCACTGATCTTATAATTTCAGGTGGCACATCATACTATTTGTTTTGATCACTTCATGTTTTGGCATTCATCCAAGGATTAAATATATTGTATTTCACAAAAGAATTAAAAATGTAATCTAATTTTAGTATCAATGTGTGATGCGCATCGTAATAATTCTTTTATAAAGGTTAATAAGATTCTTTTATAATACACATTGTAGTTACTTATTTTATTTTATTAATTCTAAAGTCTTATATATTTTTGATTTTGCTCAATGTATCACAAATGTTGAACACTAAGAGAATCATACAAAAAAAATTAATAAAATTAAGTATAAAGTAATAATTCTGCGCGTGAAACACATTTGGTGAAATTTTGTAGGTTTATATACAATTTCTGGATCGTTCATAAAATATGAACAGAAGTTTATCTACGCGTGACAGTATACTGATTCATTATACGTTAATCCTTCGTTTAACTGTATTATTAAAAGTCTCTATCCTCTACGTGTTTTTAATTTATTTAGATTCAATGAGTGTCATTACAATGAAATCCAATTTAAATTTGCAGGATCTTCTGCATCGCGGAGATAGAAAGTTTGCCTCCGCAAAATCGAGTGTCACCGACAGCAGCAGCAGAAACTTCCAATATCTCACTAAAAAATCGAGGCAGCAAAATTACTTGGCTATCCTCACGCGCAAGGAATTTTCCCTTCGACCGTAGTAAATAATCAAACAAAAACTGTGACAGCTTATTCTCGGAACTAAATTTATTTCATATAAAACTTCAGAGAAGATTTTTTTTTATTTCTTTTGCTTTATACTTGCGTAATAATTTACATGGGATTACATAGTTATAATAAAATATAATTTAGAATTGGATAGGTAGAATTAGATAGGTAGACTGCGTAGAATTGAGGATTTTTTTTACCTTTATAAAAGTTTACTTTAACATTATTTTATTAACAGTTCACATACACACAAATAGCAATCTATATTTTGGTTACCAAATCGACAAGCAAGAGTTAACGCAAATTAAAGACGCAAATTAAATCTCAATAAAAGAATTTCTTTAAAACAGGTTCGTGCACTGATCATCGAAATTCAGAAGACGCGGACGGTCGCAAAAGTCGAGATGATCAAGTTCAGAAATAGATCGCTATGGGATTGTCGAGTCTATAAAAACTCACTCAAGGAAATTGTTATCGATATCGAGGCACATGAGGCCGAAATCGAAAAGCTGATAGCAAAAGACAAGAAACGAAGTCGTGACAGGCATGAGTTCACATCGGCTTGCCACGGAGAGATACCAAGGGAATTCTCTTGAAAGTCAAAAGACATCGTCCAACGAAGAAAAGAATCCAGGAAAAGATAGCTTAAACTTCAGAGAATCATATGAAGATTCATTAGATTCGCATGTCAAACGGAAAAAGAATATATAATGTCGATACAACTTATAATATAAATAATTGAGATCATACAGACCTTAAAATTAAAAATGTTAATTCCAAAAACAACAAAGCCGCTTTTATGACTAAAAACAGAAAAGAGAATTGAGTTGAGACATCGAGAGAAAAAGAAAGGTTGAAAAAAAATGATTACTACACAAAATAAAATATACGTTCATTAAAATTTCTAGAAAAATCAGAGAAAAGAAAATTTCATTCGATACCAAATGTGATTTCAAAGAAATCATGAAATCCTTCTGAAAAATCTGAAGAGATTTCTTCAAATTATTTTCAAAGAAACGATCAAATTGTAAGAAGATAATCAAAAGTTTGACAGATTTTCTGCATTTATAAGTAAAAGATAAAGATATTTTGAAAGAAAATAATCGTACCAACCGTAAATGTTTCAATCATAAGAAATAACAATAAAGATATCCTTAAATTATGTCACCAACAAACCAGGTCGACATTAGAAAAAATATAAGGAATATTAATTACAAAATGACAAATTTAAAATTAGATTTAGAGATGGTACGAGTATTTTAAGTTACAATTAGCTACAGATCACCTGACGTGATAGAGCAATTCGGGCAACAGATTCGGTTTCAGCACGCTAAAATCCCTCGGAAACGATTATTGAAATCTGAGATTTAAAAAAAGTCGTAATTCGTCGGCCTATATAATCATTTCAAAGATTATTTCAATTTGTGTACAAAAGAAGAATAAAATTAATTAATTTTCTTCTTTACACTATAGTAAAAATATTAACTTTTATTAATTGATGAATGATAATGTTACGATACTGTAACAACACAAATATAACTGTCTTGATAAATAAAAGTTACGTTCAAGAAATTGATATACATGATATTGCATTGTCTGTCTCAATCGGTTAGTTTCCGCCGTCATATCATATTTTATTGTTATGTTTCAAATATCACAGGGAGCTGTATGGATAAAAGAAAAAAATTGAATTAATTCATATATATCCGCATGCTGTAAGACCGATATGGATGTCTTAATGATGTTTACAAAAATAGGTAATATAGATTCACGAAGTGTCTCGCTTAAACAAGCGAACAAAAATAAAAATTAATCGGCCGCGAACACATATGTACTGCTTTAATCGAATGCATAGTTTATTAAGACGAACAAAATGCGACCAAGCGATGCGCGTATCGAAATCGGACACGGCACTCTCGATTTTCCGTGCCATTTGCGAGATCGTATTGGTTTTGCATTGATACGAATACTACGATCGATAACATACGTGACCCACTCTAGTAAACGAAAATAGATATTATCTCCTTTCTAAGATCGCACAAAGCCATTCGTAGGTCACACACAATTATTTAATATATACATAATCATATTCTTAATAAATAAAAAAAACAGCTATAATGGAGTCAAATCAATAAATAGAATTACGAATATGTGATTAAGTTTCGAAAATTCCTTTTACTTATCTTGTCTATTTCTGATGTTTTGTACAAAGAAATAGCGTCTGCTCAAGAATGTTCGTCTACGATCATTTTTACTGATTGGAAAGTTATTACACTAATGTTTGTGATTCAATTCTTCGTGGTCTCACAATATTCCATTGAAAAGATATCGCGACTAATCGGTACATACCGATTCTTCTTCGATAAGTTCTAGGATGATTATAGGTGGAGAG